TATTTAAAATAAGTTGAAACAACACATTATTTAAGTTGTTTTGGGGGACAACTTAATTGTTTTATGTTCAACCCACTTAAATTTGTTAAAACGATTAAGCTAATAGATTTGTGGAATAGTGTTCTCCCTGTGTTCGTGTGGGTTTCCTCCGGGTGCTCCGTTTTTTTTGTGAATCGAGTAGGCTAAATTGTCCGTAGTGTATGAGTGTGAATGAGTGTGTGTGGATGTTTTCCAGAGATAGCTTGCAGCTGGAAGGGCATCCGCTGTGTAAAAACGTGCTGGATTAGTTGGCGGTTCATATCGCTGTGGCGACCCTGGATTAATAAAGGGGCTGAGCCAAAAAGAAAATGAATGAATGAATGAAAAACATTATTGGGGTGGCGCAGTGTAGCGCTGTCGCCTCACATCAAGAAGGTTGCTGGTTTGAGCCTTGGCTAGGTCAGTTGTCATTTCTGGATAAGTTGGCAGTTCATTCCGCTGTGGCGACTCAAGATTAATAAAGGTACTAAGCCGAAAAGAATATGAATGAATGAAAAACATTTCTATTTTGAATTTAACTTTAATTTCAAAACAATTAAAGATTAAAAAAAAATATATATATATATATATATATATATATATATATATATATAATAATTTTTATTTTGAATTTACCATTTAGATTAAGCGTGTAAAAATACTTAAAATAAAATAAAGAATAATAAAATATTAAACTAATTTATTTTGAATTTACCTTTAAGATTAGGAGTGTAAAAACAAAGACTATAGAATACACAAGGCATGTCACTCGTATAGTTTTAAATGGGGAAAAGTGTGACGGTCAATATGGTGATTAAAGCCCCGCCTACTAGTACAGGAGCCAATCAGCGATTGCTATATGGCAAATAAAGCCCGCCTTTTAGTACAGGAGCCAATCATTGATCCCTATAGACTGAAGATTCTCTGGTGGAGAGACTCGGACCAGGCATGAGTTTCTGCAGATTTTTGTATGATTTGGATGTTTAGAAATGAAACTAAAGAGACAGTTGTTGTTTAATTGTATGGGGGATTCCTCATATGTAATGTAATCGCAAGCTTGCCAAGCATTTTTGTAACTTTTTGATGTTTAACCGTTCAAACAGAATGCCCGAGCAGAGGCGTTTCAAAGATGGCCGCTGAGTGAAATGACTTGCCTTAAAGGAGGGGTGTCCAAACTCGGTCCTGGAGGGCCGGTGTCCTGGAGAAATTAGCTCTAACCCTAATCAAACACACCTGAACCAGCTAATCAAGCTCTTATTAGATATCCTAGAAACGTCCTGGCAGCTGTGTTGAAGCAAGTTGGAGATAAACTCTCCAGGACATCGGCCCTCAAGGACTGAGTTTGGACACCCCTGATTTAAAGGGACATTGGTAAAAATACCTGAAATTAAAAAATAATAATAATAATAAAATACTTATTTATTTTATTATTTTGATTCCAGTGTTTAGACCAGGGGTGTCCAAACTCAGTCCTGGAGGGCCGGTGTCCTGCAGATTTTAGCTCCAACCCTAATCAAACACACCTGAACAAGCTATTCAAGGTCTTACTAGATACTACAAACTTCCAGGCAGGT